GATCTTCTTGTAGCAGCTAACTTGGTGGTCCACTGTTTCTTCAGCTTCTTTGCACAGACGGCATTTGCTATCTGTTGCTGTCTTCTCAACTCTGCCTTTATATGCATTTATTCTTAAGGCTTGGTCTTGTGCAGCCAGAATTAGTCCCTCTGTCTCTTTCCTGCTTTTAGTCATTGCCAGGTCTCATTCTTATCTGCTTTGCCTCCTAGTTTTCTTTTGTGTACTGGCCATGTAATACTTTGCCTTGCCAGATCTCTTTTCTGTTCTTCATTTGGTCTTTCTTATATGTCAGTTTGGTTTCTTTGGTATTCAGTAAGCCTTCATGGTGTACTAGCTTCAATGCATCTTCTTCATTGTCCTTCAGATATCCTTCCAATGCCCTTTTTTCTTCTTCAGCTGTCTGGTGTACTTGTAACATTCCATGCCTACCTATGCTCCTTGATAAGTAGAGTCTGTCAACATTGCTGTGTGGATGAAGAGCATGATTCATTGTCATTATTTTTCTGGCCTCCCTATCCAGGGCTTTTATTTCAGCCTGAGTCCAGTCCACTATTCCAGCTATATATCTAATGACTCGAATTGCCAGGTGTTATTTATTTATATCAAATATGTCACTGACCATCTTGTTAAAAAGTGACTAAAAGGTGCTTTATAGAGAAGATGAAATCAATTAAAATATAATATAAAAACAGTCTTAAATAAATAATAAATAAATTCCAGGAATTATGGGATTGGCTAATAGCTCAAGGAATGACATCAGGGTGCCAGCTACTCCCAGGACTGATTAAAACTCATTACTCCATGCAAGCTGGCAGAGCCAGATCTTAAGTCCTTTCTTGAAAACCGGGAGGGTAGGGGCCTGCCTCACCTCTGGGGGGAGAATATTCCAAAGGGCAGGGGCAATGGCAGAGAAGGCTCTCCTCTTGTATTTCCGCCACTGAGTTTGGACTTTAAGATCTTCTGATGTATTCACTACTAACCTTCTTCTTGACTTCAGTGTGCTTGATGTTGTCAGGATGCCCAGATATTTGTAGAGATCTTCTTCATCCAGACTCTTGATATTATTTCCACTATGCATTTTGATTCCTTCAGTTTTCACTATTTTTCCCCTGTTGTTGGTAAGGGTGGCACATTTGTCCAGTCCAAACTCTATTGCAGCATCTTGGCTATATATCTGGACCATGTTGAGCCATGATTCCATTTCAGATGGTGTTTTTCCATGCAGCTTCAGATCATCCATGTAAAGGAGGTGGGATAACCTGAAGATGTTTTTGATCTTTGATAGCCATGGCCTGACTTGTTCAGTATTGTTGACACAGGAATCAATGCAATGAAAAACAATAGTGGTGATAGTGAGTCTCCTTGAAAGTTTCCTCTCTTGGTGTTAACCTCTCCCAGTCTATTGCCATTGACTAGCAGCTGTGTCTTCCATTGTGCCATTGATCTTTGTACACAGCTTCTGATGTTTCTACTGACTCCTGTTATTTCTAGGCATTTGATTATCCAGTCATGTGGCAGAGAGTCAAATGTCTTCTTGTAATCAATCCAAGCTACATTTAAGTTGGTCTTCCTTCTTTTACAGTTTTCCAAAATCATCTGCCATTGACTAGCAGCTGTGTCTTCCATTGTGCCATTGATCTTTGTACACAGCTTCTGATGTTTCTACTGACTCCTGTTATTTCTAGGCATTTGATTATCCAGTCATGTGGCAGAGAGTCAAATGTCTTCTTGTAATCAATCCAAGCTACATTTAAGTTGGTCTTCCTTCTTTTACAGTTTTCCAAAATCATCTTTCAATTAGGAGCTGATCTTTTGTCTCCCTACTTTTAGTGCTGTTGGACTGCATCAGCTACCACACCAGTTAGCAATTTGAAAGTTGTTGATAAGCAGGTAATTGGCCTGTAG